AAAAAACGAGTACTAACACTTCTTTCTTGAGTCAACTTAACCACATGTCTTGATTATATTAAAATCTAATTATAAATCACCCTAACACTAATTGGTGTATCTAATCTCTCTATGTATTTCTATCCATTTGAATCTTTTAAAAGAATTATATACACTACAATAAAACATTCTAATTTTGACTATCAATTTGATTGAAAATTGGTCAAAAACAGCTATTTCTGACTAGTACTTGACCAAAATCGATTCGTAAAAAATCGATGGTTGCAAATGGATTTTGATCAGAAAATAGTCAAAACGTTTTGACCAATAAAAATGGTCAAAATTTTGGTTTTTTGACCAACAAAATAGTCAAAATTTTGATTCTGACCAATAAAATCGTCGAATTTTTTGATCAATCAAAATGGTTGGAATTATATATTTTGACCAATTTTAGACCATATATTCTAACAATTTTTTTACCAACTTAGATATTTAAATTTTAGAACTATATTTTGATCAATTCAAAAATATTTAAATTCAAATTTAAAATATTTGATTCATAATAATTAAAATTAAATTAAATATTTTAAAACAATTAAAATATAAAATATTTCAAAAAAAATATATTTGAAAATATAAAAAATTCAAATTTAAAATATTTGATTCATAATAATTTCAAAATATCCATTCAATCAGTGATTAAAATATTTCAAAATTCCACTATTTGGGCTATGAAACTCATTTACGTTTTTCACAATGGAGTAAGTGTTATTTTATAGAGAAAGTCAAATTTTCATCCCTCCCATATTGGCAATGTGGGACAAATACAATAGAGGTGTTCTCCTCAATATTTGGTCGATAATGTTGTGACCAATTTCTGTCAAGTACTTATTCGTCAAAAATTACTCACGAAGTTTCGACCAAATTTTGTTTTAGTCGATAATTAGTAAGAATATTTTGACTATTTACTGACCACTTGTATTAGTGAAAAAAAGTTTGATAATATTTTGACGAGTTTAAATTTTCATAATTTTTTGTTCGAAAATTTGTCAACAAACATTTTGACCATTTTATTGGTAGAAAATTTGGTAAAAAATTAACGATTTTCTTGACCAATTTTCAATCAATCTTCTTTGTTGCAAGTTTTCGACCATTTTTGACAAATTTACGAATCCGTTAAAAATTGGTTCAAAAATTTCGACCAATTTTTGACTATTACATTTCATCATATTTTATTGACCAATTTATAACGAAAATAAACATTCATCTAAAATTGGTTGAAAATGGTCAAAATAGTTTTGACCACAAAAAAAAATTGGTCAAAAATTGATATGTTTTCTTGTAGTGATAGTTATGTTTTTAATCAGAATATATTTTCATTAAATTAACAAAATTATAATATCATATATATCTTATGTTCTCAAATTATAATTTAGAAGAAATCGATCATAATTTTCATCTCTTGGTATTAACGACGCATGTCACATTCATACTGTATCACATTCAGAAATTCATCTTTGACCGCTACATTATACTTGGACCGCTATTCAGGTACGTAGCTAGTAAACCATATACGAACAAATAAACAATAGATACGCAAACAAAAGTCGCACGTTTTATTTTCATCTTAGTCAAAGTATACCAAAACATATATAACTACAAAAACAAAAAGTCG